AAAAAAAAAAAAAAAATTTAGCTAAAGGGGATAAATTAATGAAGGAAATAACATTGGGTCACGGATTTATTGTTAGACATTCATTATATTCACTGGTGATATTTATGGTGTCATAGCCACACGGGACGGTAATGAAATATTGTTGTCACCAGGTGGTATCATAGGCCCTAGAGGACCAAAGTCTTACTTTTACATGCTGCCAAAGTCTGAACGTATTGTGGGCCTCACAACTGCTTTATCGGTGAAGCTTATGCAGGTACGTGAAGATCATTCCATCTATCATGCTAAAGAGAGAATATTGTTTGAGTGCTAATGATGGTTGCAGTCGTACATAATATAGCTTTGTCCTACTGTTGTACATTTGACTGTGTACATGAATTACACAATTGGTCAGTATTCAGAATAACTTGAATGTTTGCTGTTACCTTTCAGAACTATTTACACATTGTAGACACTTTGGATATCCCAACAGATGATTCACAGGTGAGTCATTATATTATCTTCAGTTTTTATCTCGCCTATATATGGTCACGTGAACCTATTAGAATGGCTCGAGTGTCCGTGCGTACGCAGATTTGTATACGACTTGCGCCAGTTATGATTGCCACAGCCATTTAAGTGTATTGAGTAGTTTATTTTGATGATGCATGTGTATCTATTTGTGGTACCGGTATGATTGTTGGTATGATTGTGTACTTACTTATACAGAATTTATCAAAAACAAACTATATTATTCTTGCCAAACTTGCACTTTCCCTTCTTACATATATGAAGATGACCCTCTATTACATATATGTGGTGTGGCCAGTTTCGTTCCATCTCATCTGTATATTAAAAATCTCTAGAAAAAGAATAACAACTTGATTGTAACTGTTAATTTGTGTGCAATAATGGATAGTTTGAATGTTAACTTATTATGCTTTTATTATTGCTGCAGTTTTTAGAAGACATGGCAGAAGAAAGAAACTGGGGCTTGTCAGTTCTATTTATTGATGAGTGAGTGCATTTCATTAATGTCAATAATGGATATCTAATTAAGCTATAATTACAAGTATTCGTCTTTCCAACTGTCAGCTGATCGATAAAAATGTGTAAAATAACTGAATGGAATTAATTAAACTTAATCTCAGCACAGAGAACAAAATTCATAGCTTGGTTTAGTGAAACATGAAAAGTGAACAACTTGCTTTGAGCTTTATATAATATCTGTTTTTTTGTTTTTTGTTCTAGTGTTGACATCATATCAGAGAACATGGCTTTGGCACTAGATAATGTTCCTAGTTTTAACGTAATGCCCGTATATGGTAAGGTTCCTCCATTGTTTTTCTCAGGCTTTCCTGATTAACAATCGCAAGTTAGTCTTTTGCAACTGCAGATCCAATGGAGCATATTAATATTAATATAATCTCTAACACAGTTCTCTCTCTCATGCCTATGAATATATATATATATATATATACATAGGTAGTGCAGAGCATAGCATGTCTCAATCTACAGCGTGATTGCCAGTCAATCAACCTTCTCACATCCCTTAGCCATAGTGATGTCTCTTGGCCTTCGTGACACACCCCAGGCCCACCCATTGAACCTGTGCGCGGTTGTTTCGGCTCGTGCGACTGACGTGTCTGCGTGTCTGCTGCAGGTTTGAACGTGTACAGCATGCTGAAGCACGAGACGCTCGTCCTCACGATGGCCGCGCTCGAACGCATCGAGGACCGACTGCTCACGCATCTCCACAGCTTCACTCGCACGGACGACGTCACGCGATCCACGGCTCCCTGCTTTCCATAGCGACGCCCGCCGCACGCTACGTGCTGCGGGGTCTCGCGCGGAAAATCTGCCGCGTGCGCGCGATCTGCAGCGTCAGTTTGACTGGAAGGTGGCGCCGCCTATAGACGGATTAACAAATCACACAGCTTCGATCGTGCGGCGGTGGAAAGTCGATTCCCCGGTGAGCGGGTCTGCCCTCATGTTCGATGTGTGGAAATCGCTATGGGGGATTACTCATCCTCGTCTACTTATTTGTGCGGACGCGTTTCACTGTTTGCAAAGGGAAAAAATGATTTCGGATGTTATCGTATGTCAAGTAGTACGTACGCGTGCTGTGAGTGTATCTTTACTCTGAGTATAGATATGGTCGTGGTGTTACAAATACCTGACTGAGTAGCCTCCACATAGTGTTTTCACAGTGTTTTCGTTAATATTGCTACTGGACAGGTTGATAACAGTATGCAAATAAAATCACTACTTGTAATTATATAATACATTCATTGGCTTGTACTGTTGTATTTTTACATTTAAATTATTCGAATAGTAAACTAGCTAATTTTTTTGCAGTATTTGGCATGAAAAGTAAATATATAGCAACAACACAAAAAGTATTCTTAATCTCTTATGAAATTTGTTGTTTATAATAGACAAAAAAATTCCATGAATGCACATCGCATCTCATCATATGTTTGTATGTGTAGCACTGGTAGTAATACATTACAAAATCATACAACTCTGTTGCTATTTCTTCTTCCATGAACACTGAAGATACCAGATACAAGAAGAATCTTTCTACAACTGAATATGTAGAAAGGCTGACTAAAAATTCAAAGTGGGTTTAATAAATTTCGCTGTTACATGTACAGACACATCACTACAACAAGTCGCAGGCGGTAGACAACGTTTTCAATGCGCGCATATAAATTATTTTGCCGAGAGATGGCAGTACGATGTCATATACAAACGGTGAACGGTCTCGCACTGGTATTTTGTCCAGATTTTTTTTTATAACAGTTAACAAACTACATATCATTGCCAATAACTTTAAAATGCGCTTTACATCTATTTGAAGGCTAGCACTGTGTTTTACTAACAATCTGTAGCGACTGAAGGAGGCTATGACAATTTTTTGTACGGGCAAGTACTGGGATCAGAACTATGGATCAGAAGCTGAGAAGGCGCAAAGTCCGCCAGGGGGAGGGTGGGGGTGACCAAGGCGACACCACTCGGAAGAAAATGCAGACGAATCTGAATCAACATAAATTGAATCAACATAAAACTTAAAAGCAGAGGCGATGCCCTCATTTCACTACATTTCACATTTGTAAGGTGTGCAGGTAGCTTAGTGTGATGGTAGATGAACGTAAGGTAATCGCATAAGATTAAACAGGTAAGGCAGGCTAAATAGATTAAGTGTAAACTAGATGTGTTTTTGCAATTCGATTTGATTTCTAATTTTTCTCACGCATCCTGATCCTGCTTCAGTGCTTGTACCTTGTTAGCTCCAAGAAACGGTAGGATACGGTTCTATTGACGTATAATTATTACCGTATAATAAAAACGGTATATTGACGTCAGTCACACAGCCTGGTCGGGTTAGTACCTTGTGTCTGTGCTCGTACCCGTAGCCTAGATAACAGAAGTCGGAACCGCAAACCCTGCAGCCAACGGCCAAAAAGTATTGAAAGTGCAAGTAGTAGTAGGCTACTAGTACTACTCGTACTACGCAGATTTACAGATACTGAGATAGTCCGATACTGAGATCACAACATATGCAGGTACAACGTAGTCATTAGACATTACTGTGGTTGAATGGTTATCTAATCGTATCTATCGTACTGCTTCTTCTATCAGTGCAAAGTTGGTTCTCCCTTAGCAAGTTGTGCCCAAACTTGGAATCTTGCACAAACTTGTAAGCCACACAGTTGTGGAGGCCTGATGCTCCATAAATGGAGCCAATTTTTTTAAATTGTACTGGGGCCCGTTTTACGAAGCTATCGTAAAAACACCATCTTAAGGATATTCTTAGAATTCTTGTACGAGAGCCTAACGCTGTCCTAAACGTCCCTCGTTAAAGTGTTTCACGAAACTTATGCTGGTGCGTTGTTAGATGGTCCTTAAAATTCAGCTGTAACGATGTTGCTGGCGGCATAGACTGGTACCCTATCTCTACACCTTGCTACTAGATAGTCTATATATAGAGACATGTTACAAGTCTAATGGCGACCCAGCTCACTGTGAGTTGCTACGCTAATCTCTCGCGTCATTTAGTTTTAATAAATGTAGGTACAACAGCGTGCAAACTAAAAATAATAGGTTAAAAGTATTTTTAAATGCCAAGTACCTGAGAAATAATTAAACTAAAGCAAGGTTGTCATATTTCCTGCAACTAGAACTACCACAAATGACGTATTGACTGAACAAAAATGAAACATAAATTCTGAAGGTTTAGATTTACGTTTACTTTGATACAGTATTGGCGCCATAGAATACAGTAATTACATACACGAACAGCCGAAGCACATGGAAGGTAAGGTGCAAGGAAGCATTTCATCTCTTCAAAATCTGCTACCACAATAAGAAGCTTCTTAGCCACACTTAACCCCTGCGCATCATGCCTTCACAGACCTTGCACAGTATTCTCGTAGACACAGAGAAGTTACCTTCTCGGCGGGTTTTCGCTTTACACTACGGCTTGCCAAAACAATGAAAACACGTGGGAAATCTCGCGTTGCTTGCTGTACGATAGCCTAAGTACTGCCCCTCACCGGTCCTTAAGATTCCTCTTTAATAGCAACCTCGTTGAGTTAGCGAGACGTTTGTGAAACGTGGAAACTTAGCGAGGCTTTCGTGAAACACTCTATATATAAGGATATCCTAAAACCCCTCTTTAACCCATCACTAACTTAACGAGTGCTTCGTGAAACGGCCCCCTGGTTTACAAATTACAGCACACATCTCTTCTCTCTAGTATAATATAATCTAGAT